TCCGTGCCTTTGTGTGTGGCATGAGGCTCCAGGCAGGGCAGTTGGGGGAGGAGCCCTGGGTGCCCAGAACTTGCCAGGAGGAGCACCAGCTGCTGCCCAGCTCTCGCTCTCCTCCCCTCCTCGCCATCTCTGACTTACCATAATCGACAATGCTGGACCAATTAGGAGCAGTAACAATTAAGATGTGCCAAGGGCACGTGAACATTTGCAAACATTTATTAAAAGGCATCAATAATTAAGCGTTTCTTTCATAGTTACATTTCTGGCCTCCAGACATATCTGTTTATGGACCTCGGGTCGCAGCATGCTTTGAGCGCTGTGTTATGGCCTCACACGCTGGTAATGAAAATTTAAAATCCTTCCCTGACTTGAATTCTGAGATTTGACAGTGAAGCAGTAGAGCGAGACTACGCGGGCTTTTCCCAGCTGCCTGATGCTAGAGGTGTGGCCTTCCAAGCCCACCAGCCAGACGGGGTACAAACCCAGGCCCGGCCACCAGGCGGCTTTGGGGAGGGCCTGCCCTGCGCCCTCCCTTTCCTGGCTGGCCACATGCGCAGAATGACACCTGCCTGAGAGGACTGATGTGAAATGTCTGCTGCATGTAAACTCAAGTCACAGCAGCTTCTGTTAGTGCTGAGCCTACAATGATGGGAGGGAAAAAGGAGGCAGCTCTTAGCTGAGGGGTCAAGATGACCAGTGGCTGCAAACTCAGTGCCCATCAGGACCAGACAGATGACGAAAACGAGAGAGCCAGGCTGGGCGGAGGCTGGAAATTGCAGCAGAGCTCCCAGGGACTCTATTCCAAAGGGGTGCTGGCTCTCGGCCCCGGTCCCTGGGGTCAGGCAGGAGTGTGCACCCAGGTCGCCTGGGCTTCTGACTTCTTCAGAGAGCCAAGAAATCCACATGTTTATGTGAAATCTCTTGACTTTTAACATGTGACAACTCATTCAAACTTTTTTTTTTTTAAATACCTGCAGGGGCCAAACAAACATCTCTGGGTGACTTGGGCGCGGCCCCCACTTGTGACCACATGTCTACATGGGTCCCCTTCGCCAGGTATGTGCTTCAATTTCTCGTTCCTTTTAGCCACAGAGGCTGGTGGATTGAAATGTACCTTCCCGATTTAGTGACAATCTGTAACAAATTGGTGTGGACTGGGAACCAAATCGGCTAACTGGAAAGGAAGTAATTGAATAATCACCAGTTGGGTCCCACCTGGTGCTGAGAGGTTGAGTGGGGAGGTGGATGGAGGTGTGGGCTTCCCCTTCCATCTCTTTGTCCATCGTGAACTACATAAGGGGCAAGAGGGTTTGATATTGGGGGGCAGGGGGAATAGCCGTGGTCAGAATGTTATATCACACGGCAGCTACACCCCCATTCTCGTTAGCATCCTTAGCTTCCAGTGGGCTCCTGGTGTATTTAGTCTGAGGTGGGACTTTGCTTTTTAACACATCTGTAGTTTTGAGTTGACGGCGCTTGTTTGTTTCTTTGTTTATTTATTTATTGGACCAAATGACCCCAACAACTCCTCTGGTAGTCGGGTGTAATCGGATTTGGTTTTAAACATGCTTTTAAAGTAAAGAAATAAATACAATGGAGGCTTGTAAAAAGTGATCATTAGAGAATGGGCCTTGGCCCCATCACTTGAAAGTAATAGCACCATTACGAGGGGGGTGATGACGCTGTGTCTGTTCCTTGCGTTTATGGTGTAAGCTTGAGGGGCTGTGCGGGCAGGTCGGGCAGCTCCGTAAAAGCTTTTCCAGCAGCCATTTAACCTCCATTTATGAAGAAATAACGTAAAATTGATGCTGATTTGGGCCTGCTTTGGGGGATATTTTTGCTCCATAAAAGCCCTTTTGCTTGCAATTTGCCGAGCTGCCCTGTCACATCAGAAAGGGCCGCTGATGATAAAGATAAAGCTTTATGGCCGCAGTATTTGCTCCTAACAGCAACCTAATGCAGCATTTTCATTTTTGTGCAATTAATGTTAACGTCCGCTACGAAAATTGTCATTAAATACCATTTTAAAATCCATTCAATTTGCATATGCAAAGCCCATTTACCATCACAGAAGATACAGCGGGCACTTCATCACGTCCTTTCCCTGAAATTGTAGCTGCTCGGTTTTATAGCAATTGAAGATTTTATATTGAAAGCTAGATGATAATGGATAGCCTTTCTGAGCCCAGCTGACTTCAGCTTTTCCATTGTATATGGAAAAACGCAGCTCCAGTACCAGAAACTGTGGGTGTTGGCGATGGACCTCAGTCCCAAGGAGGCAAGACGTGGAAGGAAGCACTGGACAGGGAGTCCACCAGCCAGGCTCCAGGCCCGGCTCTTGTCTGGCCACAACTTGCTGTGTGACCTTGGGCAAGTCTGAGCTTCTATTTTCCTTTTAAAAATAAGGGCTTTGAACCAGGTGACAGTTAATGTCTGCATATTTCAATATTTTATATTTTAAAAAATAAGCACTCTAAGTTGAGAATCCAGGCTAAGCCTGGCTGTGAGAAAGTTGTGTGAACTTGGGAAGCTGGCTGTGACCCTGCCTACCGCCCACACAGGGTTTTAATGACTAGGAAACGGAATTGACGTGGAGACAGTACATACCTGAGAGTCCCAGAATGCTGGGTGGGCTATGCTGTAATTTTTATAATTTTAAGATTTACAGCTGGGGAATCGGAAACTCTGGAAGGAACAAGAATTGGGGACACAGCTGGGACTAGAACCCCAGGCTGACGCAGCCAGGGCCCCTTCCGGACTCCAGGCTATCTTTGAGATGCTGGTGACCAGCATGGACTGGTCTAGTGATCTGGTGCCCAGCGGAGACTGTCTGTCCCTCTGCACTCTGATGGTCTATGAGAAAAAGGCAAGGAGGGCACACGTGCCGAGGGGCTGCAGGTGAATGGGGTGGGGGTTGTGTGGGGAGGTGCCCAGCGTTGGAGGGACTGCCTTGGGGCATTATTTCAAAGGTGGGGTAAGGACAGTGTACAGTTAATGCAACCCAGAAGTGACTCTCCAATGTGTCTGTAGTGTCACATTCTAGGTTTTGAGGGCTAGTGAATAGAAATGCATTTCTGGTGAGAGAGATGTGAGGCCATGCCGGTGGGAAAGTTTACTGAAGAGACGATGCTGAGCTGAACTTTGAAGAACAAGTATATTTTACCAGTTAGGATGGTGAGAAAAGGCAGAGGGGAAAACATACAAAAATATGGTGGTGTGCACTGGGGAAAACACCAGGGAGGTTCCTCAAAAAATTAAACACAGCATTACCATATGACCCAGCAATTCCTCTCCTGGGTGTGCACCCCAAAGAACTGAAAACAGAGATTCAAACAGATCTTTGCACACCTATGTTCACATCAGTATCGTTCACAGTGGCCAGAAGGTGGAAGCAAACTAAGTGTCCACCCATGGACAACGGATAAACAAAACGGGGTCTATACACACAATGGAGTATTGCTCAGCCTTTAAAAAGGAGGAGATTCTGACACCTGCTACAACATGGATGAACCTTGAGGACATTATGGTAAATTAAATAAAGCCAGACACAAAAGGGCAAATATTGTGTGATTCCATTTAAATGAGGCATCTACAGTTGTCACAGATAGAAAGGAGAACGCCGGTTACCAGGGACCGAGGGGAGGGGCTGGGGAGTGAGTGTTTAACGGGGACAGGGCTTCAGTTTGGGAAGATGATAAAGTTCTAGAGATGGACGGTGGGGATGGGTGCACAACAATGTGCATGCACTTTCATGCCACTGAACTGCACCCTTAAAAATGGTAAATCTTAATGTATATTTTACCACAGTAAAACGATCATTAGAAAAAAATAATAAAAATAATAAGGAACTGCTAAAAAAAAGAAAAAGAAAGTATGACGGCATAGCCAAAGGAAGGGTTCTAGCCTAGGAACAGCGAGAGGTGGGCAGGAAGACAGTCTGGGGATGGATTGTCAGTGGCCTTGGCTGTGGGCAATGCAGGGCACTGCCCCACAGAGGAGCCAGATACTGGCTTTTCTGTCACAGGCATCGGGGTGGGGCTTGGAGCAGCTGGAGGTCCCAGGCCACTTGCTCCTGTCTGAGAGCACTTCTTTCATTTATGTGTACCGTGCAATGTGCAAATAGCAGTAACTTTGCAATGATGATAAGCTTATGCTGCGACCTAGTGTGGGTTAGGATGCCCTGCTGTAGTGGACGTCTGCTGATTTTGCCTGCTGTTTTGTTCTGCTCTTCTCCTTCTGGGAACAGAGCCCCTATTTCTACACCAGCCCCTGTGGATTGGGGGAACTGATTCCAGCCACCTCTGAGGAGGGGTAAGGGATCAGGCCTAGCCAATCAGAACATCAGAATCCCCTGGCCTCAGCAATTGGTTCAGAGGCAGACATGTGATCCAAAACTGGCCAATCAGTGTATTTCACAAACCCTCCTCACAGCGGCTGTTTCAGGGATGGGCATGGCACCAAAGAATCTTCATCTCAAGGCTTTCCTAGTGCCTACACTCTTCCTACTAGAGTCACTAAGAGACGAGGGCATCAGAAGGAACTGCTCCTGGCCATTTTGCCACGTGAGGAAGAAGCTTGTCAGAGACCGGAGCCAAAGCTGGGATGCACAGCCAAGACAGGAGAGACACACCAAATGCGGATGACATGGCTCGATTGCCTAGATCCAGCTATGCCTGAAGCTCTACCCCTGGGATTTTCAATCATGTGAGCCAATAAATACCCGAGAAAAAAAAATCAAAGCAGTTTGAGTTGAGATTGATTACATGCAACCACATTCTACTTTTATAGAACATCATGCACGCCTGGGTTGGGACATGAGTCACCGCCTCTGGACCAATCAATGTGACCAAGATGTGTGCACTACACCGATTGGCCAGGCCTGATCACTTGCCTGGATTCAAGAGTCATGCTCCCGATATTGTTCCCTCATTTAGTGGCAGCCGCCAAGCCTGCCCACCGCTCATGGTGAGGAATGGAGTCTAAAGCGCCAGCCACCTTACCGTGACCGGATCCCGAATGTCATATCTGGAGGGAGAGAGGGTGGTTCCTTCTTGACCCGCCGGTCATCCTGGTCACTGATGCGGATGTCATTGAGCTGACGGTAGAGGAGGTTCTCCGGGGCAGTTACCAGGCAAGCTCTCACGGCCTCACGGTTCATGGCGATATAGTTTCGGGTCAGCTCGTGGGGGCAAGGGGGCTGCTGTTTAAACACATTCCAGTGTCCAATGGCTGAGGGCAGGGAGGGACAGACCATGGTGCAGAGGTCAGTCTGGGAAGTAAAGCAATCCGTGGCATCCAAGAAGAAATGGGGGGCCCATGGTTCCCGTACCTTCCCATTAACCCAGAGCCTGCTGTGGAACACCCCCTCTTGGCTTCCTGGAAAGGAAGGGGTCAGGATTCCCAGAGATTGAATCTTCCTGGGGCTGCATTCACCTGGCCTGACCTCCTTTGGGTGATCACCCTAACTCTTGATCCCTACCCGATCCTGAGCCCGTTCTGTGCTTGTGGCTTAAATGGCACAGGGCTCACTCAGTCTCTTGCCTGAGGACAAGGTTCCACGCTGGCTGAGTCCTTGCAATTTCCCTGCACCTTAGACCTGCACCCTGCTTGGTCCTCCCGTCTCGGCCAAGCCCAGGCTGTGGTTTCTAGCAGAGCTGTGCTGTGAGGCAGGCCCCTGGGCTCTTTTCCTGGAATGTGGCCAACTACCAAGTGGCCAGCCTAGGTCAAGAGCTCAAACCCCGTGGGATCCAAAGCATACTCGCGCACCTTCAGGGACCCCTCCGTCCAGCCCCCGGATGTAGAGTCCATAATTAAAATTAACTCCAGGCAGACGGTAGCTTCTTTCCCGGGGCTTCCCAAGTTCAGCCTGTTGGGGGAAAGACAGAGAACAAAGGTGAGGAGTGGAATCTCAGACCATTAAATGATAACAGACTCAGAAACGGGCAGGCACTGGGTGCCTGCTTTGCCCCATGCCCCGTGGGCGGCCTTCAGGGCTACTGGGGTGCGGACCCCAGAGCCCCGGAGCAGAGCGCAGAGTGCGGTTGGGCACCGAGCAGCCTGATGGGTGTACTCGTGCTAAGGGGCCAGTGAGGAGAGCAGAGCCGTGCTGGGGGTGGTCTGGTGGGAGAGGGACAGCACAGTCCCTGCTGTGAGCAGCTGTGCTTGGGGTCCAGCCTAGGCCCACCTGACTAAAGCTGGAAACATCTCTGATGTGGACGCACTGAAGGGCCCAGTTCACTGAGACTCACCTGGAGGTCATCGTCCAGGAGGGGATATCTGTCCTACCTAACTCTTTATTCCTACCCGGTGCCAAGGCCCACTGTCATTCTTGGCAGCTGGACAGCTATTCTCACTCTCTGGGTGTCTGGCGAACTCCTCCTTGATCCCCGCTCTCCCCAGAAGGGGTTTGTAGGAATAAAATTGTCGCATTCTCGACCACATTGGTTCCCCCCATTTTATAGGTTGGGAAACTGAGACCTAGAGAGGCAGAGTCATTAGCTCATTATCCTAAGGGATGGGGCTGGATTTCAAGTGCAGGTGTGGCTGGGCTCCGGGCTGGAGCTGCCTGTCAGCAGCTTCCTGAGGGCCGGGGCCCTACCCTGTAGGATGCTTAGAATGTCATCATCTTCATCCCCACTGATGAGCGCTTGCTGGGCTCTGTGTTCTAGACACAATATTCAGTTTTGCACATGCTTCCCTCAGTCTGAATTTTCTTCTTCTTCCATCTCATCTACATCTTCATCTTTCTGGCTCCCAGGGATCCGGGCACATAGAGGTAGATAGATGATCAGGGAGCAGCTGTAGTGGCTCATGACTGCCTTTGGAATAAACCCCTCCCTGGGGCTGGCAGTCCAGGCCCTGCTCCCTCTGACCCCATCCACCCCTGCAGCTGCCTCTCCCAGCCTCCCGCACGCGGCCCTGTGATTTTGGCGGACTAGCCCACTCCCCTTCCTGAGGGGTCCTCAGGCAGCCCAACCTCCTGGCCTGCCCTCCCTGCTTGTTCTCATTCTTCAAGCTCCCTCAGGTTCACAGTGGCCTCTCCCTCACCTGTATCCAGTACCTCTTACTATCTGTTCTGCTCATTTGGGGCTTAGGACTTAAGTGACCTGGGTTTCCATGAATGCACATGCCAGGCCAGCCTGCCTGAACGATAAATTCCTACACAGCCAGAACCACAGTTTCTATTGCCTTCTTTTTCCTAGTGGTCCATAGCAGGTGCTCAGTTAATACCTGCAAACAAAACCTCTTCCTCCGGGAAGTCCTCTCGGGTTGCCCTCAGTCCAGACAAGCTTCCTTGTATGTGGCACCATAGGGTTCTGAACGCCACCTTTGGGGCACTTTCAAAATTACACAGCAGAACCTACTACAGCATGGATGGGCCTTGACGATATGATGCTCATTGAAGAATCAAGTCACAAAGGACCACATATTGTAGGATTTCATTTACACGACATGTCTCGAATAGGCAGATCCACGGAGACAAATGTACATTAGTGATTCCCTATGGCTGGGAGGGGGAGTGGAATGTGACAATTGGGTGGGCAGGGGGGTGATGGCTAAGGAGGTGTGGGGCTTCTTTTGGGGGCTAACGAAAATGCCCTAAAATCGACTGTGGTAACGGTCACACAATTCTGTGAATATACTAAAAGCCAGAGGTAGCACACTTTAAATGGGTGAATTGCATGGTGTATGAGTTATATCTCAGTAAAGCCATTAAGAATTACAAAGTAATTAAGTTGTTAATTGCGTGATAATCAGTTTAATGTCTGTCTCCCCCAGTAGACTGTTTGCTCAGTCTTTATTTATTTAAAGGTTAATTAAAAAAAATTTTTTTTAAATAGACTTTCTTTTTTAGAGCAGTTTTAGGTTCACAGAGTGTACCTTAAGGTACAGAGTCCCCATTGGCCTCCTGTCATTCTATTTTCACTCCCCTTTTCCCAGGGCCCAGCAGAGAACAGATGGTAGTAAATAGGGGTTGAATGAGTGAATGACTGAATGAATGAAGTGCCCACTTGGAGACTCTAGCGGTTCTTTTCTACACAGATTCTGCTCAGTTTGCTCCCTCTGCTTTCCCATCTCAAACCCTAGGCCCTGACCTTCCTCGGAGCTCGGGAGCCCCGGAGCTCTGAGTTCCAGGCGGGTGCGCGGGGCCTCTGCTGGGTGGTTTGTTTGAATTCCTTGCACACGACTCAGTCTGAGCTGCAGACAAAGCTCTGGCTTCTCATTTGTTTATGAAAATGATCTGGCCTCTCTGGTGACTGCCGGGGAAGTTAATTAAAATGTGACTTCTCTGGGAGAGGCCCCCCCCCTCTCAGGGCAGGTGCAGGTGGGCAGACTTCCAGCTGGCAGAGGACTGACAGGCAGACTCAGGAGCTGGCTGCCACTCTGGGCGGGCGGAGGGGGCGGGGAAGCAGGCGGGTGCCTCACTCACCATGCTTTTTAGCAAGGGTTGCCTGGGAATCAACAACTGCGAAAGCACATTGAAGCCTTCGTTGCTAAGATCATTCCAGTGGGAGGTTCACTCATTCTTTCACTCCATGAATATTTATCTTCGACCTATTCTGCGCCCAGGAGTTCTGAGGTGAACAAAGATGTATTGCCCCGGCTGATAGCAAATTCACTGTCTTACAAAAAGGACAATTGCACAAGTAATGGCAGTCAGGTGCACCAGGGGAGGTTGATAAGACGGGAGCCCAGGGTGCTTCTAGCTCTAAAACTCTGAGTCCATAGAGTGAGACGAGATATTTGCAATATGTGTACCTGACAAAGGACTCTTATCCATCATATATAAAGAGCTGCTACAAACCAATAAGGAAAAGGCAGATGATCCTATAGAAAAATGAGCAAAAGTTTTAAAGAGATGCTTCACCAAGAGGATGTCCAAGTAGCCAAGACCCATATGTCAAGGTGCTCAGCCTCTGGGGAATGCAACGTAACGACGCAATGCCCTTGGTGAAAATGTGGAGTAACCGGAACACTCACGCACTTGGTGGGAGCGTAAACTGGTTCGGCCACTATGGGAAACCATTTAGCAGTGTCTCTTAGAGCTAAACATATGCCTACCCAACAAGCTCTCTTGGACACCCAAGAGAAATGAGTATACGAGTCCACCCAAAGATATGTGTGAGAATGCTCATGGCGGCTCCATGTGTGAGAACCAAGTGCCAGAAACAACCCAAAAGGCCATCGCAGGTGGATAAAAACATTGTGACAATCATTCCGTAGATTACTCTATAGCAGTGGTTCTCAGCTGGGAAACATTTTTGCCCCCCCCCCGCCCCACCTGGTGGGCGGGACCCCGGGAGATGCTGCTGAATGTCCCCCAGAGCACAGGACAGTCCCCACGCCCAACAGCAAAGAGCAATCGGGCCCCACGTGCCAGTCGCGCTGAGGCTGAGAACCCTGCTCTATAGCAAGGAGAACGAGGGACAGCTCTACACAACCCTGCGGGTGGTTCTCACACAAAGGAAGCCAGGCACGCAAGACAGGCACTGCTCCACGCAGATGAAGTTCAAACTCAAGACGACTCATCTGGTTTGGGGAGTCAGGGGCATGGGTCCCCTTGGGGCGGGGAGAGTGGCTGAGGGGACAGCACAAGGAGGCACTGTCCTGTTCTTTCCTGACCTGATGTGGGCGCCTTTCACACCCATTCGCCTGGGACTCTGGCCACATGTTGAAAAGCAATGGCCTCTCCATCTCCCCCCAGGAGACGAGTACTGCATAAACAACAAAAGAGAAACAGCAGCAGCACAGGAAAGCAATGTATTGGTTCCCAGAGTGTTCTCTGGGACAACTGTTTCTGAGACTTAGGTGGTGGTGGGAGAGTCACATCCGGAAATCCCTAAGAATGCAACGCTGGCTTTCTCATCTCCTCCGCCTTTCCCAGACGGGCGTATCGTCCGGTGTAATGAAATAGAAGTCCCCACAAACTTACTGAGAAGCAGATGCAGCCCCTGCCACCCTGGCATCTGGACTTCCTTTCCTCTAGGCCAGGTTACACGTGGCCGGGAGGGCCACTTGCAGGAAACCAGAAGCGCCCCGGGCCTGTGAGCACCTGCAGAGCTTTGCACCAAGCTAGAGCACCAAGCTAGAGCTGTGGGAGTTTGCCCTGATCGGCCCTTCTGTTCCATTGTCCCCAAATACCTCCCGTGCTTGAAACTCCACCCTTGGCAATTTGGTCCATTAGATTCAGGGGCCACGTGTCTCAGAGTCCCTGAGTTCACATGTAAATATCCCAATATTAGCCCATTACCAGCTCATCTGCCCAGTGAGACGAGCTACCTGGACGTAACAACCTGGCCCCACCTTGGTGTCAACACTGCCAACCACAGCAACACCTTTAACCATGGAGACCAAGTGCTCAGGTCCACGGAGGCGCTTCACTCCATTACCGCCAAGGCTTAAAGCAACCCTACAAAGTGGCTATGATTACTTCCGTTTTCAGGTGGGGAAACAGAGGCCCAGACAACCTTAGTGCCTTGTTTGCTCAATGCCGCACAGCTAATGAGTGGCCAGGCTGGATTTGAACTCACATCTGACTGCACGGTCTTGGCTGCCCCTTCACTGCTCGCTTGGCATCCAGCATAAACTACCCCGCCAGCCACTGTCTTTTGCGTGCACAGATCTTAGCTCTGCAGGTAGGTTGTACTCAGCCCCCGCTCACACTCCCAATACTTGGAGACCACAGCCTGATGCCCAGGAGAGCTCCAGGTAAAGCCTAGACCGGGGTTGCAGAAATCAGTCACTGCAGAAAACACTGTAGGCCTGAAGTGACCCAAATACAGGACAGCTAAGCCATGACTGGGTCAGGCGCGAGGTGGGCAGGAAAGGGAGGGAGCATGCCCATCTTGGATTGGCATTTTGAGG